ATTTACCTGTCGTTTGGTGCCAAACTCATTTATATACATCACGTGCATGTTGACCCATTCATATTTAGCTTGTATCCACAGCCTGAATCCTACTTACTGCTGAACAGTGTTGAGACACTCGTGTGTATGTCGTGTTTGTAAATCGTTTGACACGTGTGAACATGTATGTGAAAGTGTGTATGTCGTGAGAACATACGATCGATTCAGTGTGAACCTTGATACAGTTGATATATACATCGTAAAATCTCAAAAATGATCATAACGCAAATTGTTTCACACAATTAATATATATATATATGTGTGTGTGTGTCATTTTGGTCGACAGCATCACTTGTAATCTATTTATCAACGAAAGCTAAGTTTAGTCTTTTTGATATATTATAAGTGATCATTTCAGTATTGAATGTTATATAACGGGGTGTATAGTATTGTACTATAGCTAAGTGTAGAGGGAAAAGTTATATAACGGGGGTGTATAGTATTGTACTATAGCTAGGTGAAGAGGGAAAAGTTATATAACGGGTGTATAGTATTGTACTATAGCTAGGTGTAGAGGGAAAAGTTATATAACGGGGTGTATAGTATTGTACTATAGCTAAGTGTAGAGGGAAAAGTTATATAACGGGGTGTATAGTATTGTACTATAGCTAGGTGTAGAGGGAAAAGTTATATAACGGGGGTGTATAGTATTGTACTATAGCTAGGTGTAGAGGGAAAAGTTATATAACGGGGTGTATAGTATTGTACTACAGCTAGGTGTAGAGGGAAAAGTTATATAACGGGGTGTGTAGTATTGTACTATAGCTAGGTGTAGAGGGAAAAGTTATATAACGGGGGTGTATAGTATTGTACTATAGCTAGGTGTAGAGGGAAAAGTTATATAACGGGTGTATATTATTGTACTATAGCTAGGTGTAGAGGGAAAAGTTATATAACGGGGTGTATAGTATTGTACTATAGCTAGGTGTAGAGGGAAAAGTTATATAACGGGTGTATAGTATTGTGCTATAGCTAGGTGTAGAGGGAAAAGTTATATAACGGGTGTATAGTATTGTGCTATAGCTAGGTGTAGAGGGAAAAGTTATATAACGGGTGTATAGTATTGTACTATAGCTAGGTGTAGAGGGAAAAGTTATATAACGGGTGTATAGTATTGTGCTATAGCTAGGTGTAGAGGGAAAAGTTATATAACGGGTGTATAGTATTGTACTATAGCTAGGTGTAGAGGGAAAAGTTATATAACGGGTGTATAGTATTGTACTATAGCTAGGTGTAGAGGGAAAAGTTATATAACGGGGTGTATAGTATTGTACTATAGCTAGGTGTAGAGGGAAAAGTTATATAACGGTGTTGTTCAGTACTGTACTATAGCTAGGTGTAGAGGGAAAATCTTGAAGACCGATGGCATGTAAATGCTTCCTAAAGACACAAGCTGATTGGTTAGTAATTTCATTAATTAAACTCACAAAATTAGAAAAAAATGAAATTGGACATCCTTCAGACAGGTGTTGTTATGCTGATCTTTTCCTGTGTGTTGACCTCACTTTGTCTGCGTCATTGTCACGTCATTGTCACGTCATTGTCACGTCATTGTTACGTCATTGTCATCATGTATGACATCACTTTTAGTGTGTTAACGCCGTCTTTTCGGCATTTAGAAGTTTTCCAAACTGCGTTTCGAACAAAATTTGTATCAGGTGATGACATTGATAACAGACATAGTTTAAGGGAACCGTACATCTCTAAGCAATCATTTTATAAGAAAGGTTATCTGTGATTGCTATCAATATTCTTATATATTCAATGTATGGTTTTCTACATCATTATGATAAGTAAAAGTTATCTATTACATAACGTCACAGAGTTTCGAAAGCAGCCTTGTTTATATGTAAATCTTGTGATTTTATTACATATATCAGATGTCAGGCTGTATCATGCAGTAGTGGAGTAGTACATATCGGGTAATATATATATCGAATCAATGGCACTCTTTACTCCATCAAACTCAATGTTTAGGTAATTCGACCCAGTTAACTTCAACACCACGATTTGCCACGTATGGTATGATAGAATTATTTCGTTTGACGAATCGTCTACCTTAATTCTGGACACTAGTAGACTTTTCGGTTCAGAATTTCTCAGCACACCCTGAAACACATACTTTGGTCTGTTGCCGGAATCGTTGTGAGTTTTGTAACATTCTAGAAGACACATTGTGATTTTGATATATTCCCTTGACATCCGTGTGTAAGTATCTCCACGTAACTCTGCTGTGTAACTATTGACGTTGACTAAGTTATTGAAACCATGTAGACTTCCGTCGTCACTGCTATCGCCTGTATTATTTGGCTTACTTTCGTTCAGACATTGCTGAATATTGTCTTCGGATTCACGTCGATTGCCTTTTTTGAATTTTTGTCGCGTCTCAACTACCATTTTGTCATGGTTCGTCCCAGATTATTGACGGTAGGGTATGGTAACGATTTTGTACAGAGCTCTTTCTCGACACTTGCAATTCGTTTACCTTTCGCGCTTAAGAATCGTTATGGTATATTTCAGGCCCTTTAGCTATCGATTCGTCACGTGAACCAACGAATGAAGATAATCAAATGATCAGATAGTTAACGAGTACTGACAGCTATGATATATATTTCGGATGAGTGGCGCTTGTCACTCCATTAATCCCAGTATCTGTGTTGTTGAATTCTCCCTCCTACTTTAGGCTTTGTAAATCAATCATAACCTAGGATTCGGACATTACGAGTGTTTACTTGTTTAATACGAAGTACATCCATCGAACTAGACGAATCTGTGTAGGTAAAATAATTATTAAGACTGAATTTTTCATCTTCTGAATTTGAACTTTCTTTCATTTTAAAATTCTCCTTTAAAATGCCTTTTAACTAAATACATCATGTTGTGTTTTTATGTATACTTGTTTCTATGTAAGTCGGCTCCACCACAAAGTACTGGAGACAATGATAATAAACAAACGGAGATAAAATTTGACGAAACTGAATTGTTCCTTGTTTATGTATGATAGGAATCATGACTATGGACAGAAAGCTCAAATATGGAGTTCCAGATTCGGAACAGGAGGCTGTCCCCATGCAGAAAAATGATGAGTGCACCGAAGACATCGATAACCCGGAAGTGAAACCATCGTCATTCTGTGCTGAAATTCAACATAACAAGGTCACAAGGTTACAGGTCATCCGTAGTATCTGCGTGACGTCAGCATACATTGTTATGGTATGTATCAGTGTGAAAGTTTGTTGTAGTTAATCAGAAAACCAGAAAAGCGCATACAAGGAGAAAAAAGATAAAAAGTAGAGAATATCATTGTTACATTTGTATCGATATTGGTGGGTATTTCGCCATTGTGGATCACGTGTAATGATTTACCGTACCAATGTCAAATATAATGAATACAAAATTTAAAAAGGAAAATGCTTCATTCCATTTCCAAAACTGATATGATAACACATTCACTATCTTATATGTAGAATGTTATTGTTTTAAGTAAAGCAAACATGTCGAATTTTTTATTAGGTTATTTACTGTCGATCCACAGAAATATAGATTGTTGCCAGGTGTTTCCGGCGAGGGTCTGTCTGGTTTCTAAGACGAAGTTAAGGCACGATAGATTTGGTGACCTGCTTTATTCCGTGGACCGACAATATCTTACCGAATAGCAGTTTTATTTCATCAACAAGAGAAATATTATATACGGTTAACATAGTTGTAAACAACGATTAAGGGACATATGTTGTGAAAAATAGAGAAATCACTTTTTTATCTAATCCCTAGAGGAGAGGAACAACTCTCTCACATTTCCTTTTTTATTGCACATTTATAGGGACCATTATATATAATAAGAATAAATTACAACGAAATATGTCTTTTTTGGTTATTGAATAACAAGAGGCAAAGCATACAGTAATGATAACGGCGGTCATACTCTGGTGTATAACTTCAGAATGTGTAAAAATAAAAGTCACCGCCTGTTGTTGAATAATGAGTCCGTGAATTACAGAAGGTAGCTAGCGGTAATTTGCTGGCGTGTCTTGTATAGTTAACGTTTTCAAAGAAACGTCTGTGATTATGGTTATCAAAACGTACTGGCCAGTAAAGCGTGCTTCTGCATATCAGATAGTACTACTTATTCGCCGACCTCAACTTGTATGCAAGACAGGATGTAAATGTGTAGCTCTACTTATCGTAAGGATTTGCAAGCTTTGATTGGATAACAGGTCATCACGAGCAAGTCGATATATACCTGTTTCGAAATTAAGAACAGCCACACCATATGGACATCGGAATATGATATAATTGTCTTGAGGGAAAATTTGTAATATTATATATCTAATGGTTTGATTTGGCTTGAGAATATTTTTCTCTTTTAAAAAACCATATTCTTTGATTATAACGTATTTGTCAGAATATTGAATTTTAAGATTAGAGTATTCCATTAATATGTTCAAGACAATTATAAAATTACTGGTTCATATGTAATATATAAACATAGATCTTAGCCTTCGGTCAGTACTTTTTCTACCAGGTTGATATAACACCATATCAACCGAAATCCAACACCCTTCTCTTTCCGTCTGGTCTTTCTAATGAAATTTCTATGTTTAATTTTCTCGGTAAAATTGTATCAAGCGCGATTGTTTTTTTTTATCTTATCTAGTTTTCTGTGTTTTGTCTTTGATGAATGCATGAAGAGTGACAAGATTTGGAAGGGTCTAAAACTACATTCGAAGATAGAGAAAATATTCATTGTACTTTAGTTAAATTACCAAAATGATTTTGTAAACTATTATGATAAAGATGATATAATCCAAACCGATATCTTCGCCACGTGCTTGCGTCCAGGCCACTATATAATTTTTGACTGTTTTTTTTCTCTATAGGGATGGATAAAGGGCCAGATCGGTCCCGCATTCCCAGACATCATTCGTATTTCCGGGGTTGACCTTCAGAAAGGGTCCGTGTTTATGACGGCTTATTACACAGGTCGGTTCTTGGGATCGTTCCTCGCAGGTGTGATTTATTCTAGGATGAATACATACCTGTTATTTGGAATTTCTCTGGTCATGTTTGGCTTTGTGTTGGGAGGCATTCCTTGGTGTGTATACTACGAGCTGATGATTGGTGCGCATGCCGTGCTCGGAATCTTTGGTGGTATTCTCCCTGTCGGTAAGAAAATATTTATATTTCAATGTCTAGTGATTGAAGTAAAACTATATAGCACTTTAATACAAATTTAGAATTAAGAACAATAGAGATAAATAATATAACTGAATTATATTGGTTTTACTCCCTCCAAAACTCCTCGGCGCTTTAGTAAGAAGAGGACACACATAGAAAGCCAAAATAGACCGGTCGTAATGTTACAATCTAGAGTCTTATAATCGAATACAAAGATAAATGGATGGTACATAACGGGTTTATTTTTTTCTTCAAACGTCCATTTCCGTCTGACATTCAGATTTTGTTGGACGGGTTATCCTATGATGTTGTTCTGGTCACAATTAATAAAATCAATATATATATAAATAGCAGCAAAAACGAAAAGTAAATGTTAATGATTTCATGACTAAGAAAGTCAAACTTTGGAAAAAATCTTCTTTACAAACTATACAAGGCTTTAAGATGATAAAGATATGAAATACCATATTGCCAGATTGGCTAAGAGGTGAAATGAAACAATGGAGACACTATGCCATAGAGATAAGCCTGTGTAAAACTGTGAGAGAGGACAGATCGAGGCTCTACAGGACCGAAGTCTTTCTTCTCTCACATATATTGTACAGTTTGAAGCTTATCTCTAACTTCAAACATGGCCTCCTTTGTATCAGTGTAGATTACCTTTATTTTTAGAAAACAGTTCACAATCTCTGTCCCAGGCTTAAATCCGTTATTGTACAATTTACCATTGTTCTCTTGTACGAACTTTAACGACGGCTACATCTCCGTTATTCATTCTCCGATCTATCCTCTTATGAATTTAAATGATACAAATATTGTTTTAAGCGATGTTTTATCATTGCATCAGCGAAACTTGTTAGGATGTGGTCAAATTGTGACAAAAGGATTGTATTGCTCCATATTTCACTACGATTTATTTACATATATTCACGAAAAGAAGGATTTACCTACAAACAGGATGTTAAACCCCATTGGTAGATATAAGTTCTACATATCATATTAATCCTCTTTCTCATGAGATCTGTTTCCATCACTCACGCAAGGTATTGGTAAAATTGCGCTAAATGTTTAATGAACAAAATTGTATTTTGATTAACATCAGGAGGTAGTTCCATGATCTTCAAGATAGTGAAAGTGTTTGTGGCGCAACATTAACTGGAGTATGTCCTTATTGAAAAGTATGGACTGTCACCTTGTCAATATTGTGACCAAACTTTTATGTGCATGTGTATGATTTTCTTTGTCCGTTCATCCATCCATCTATCCATCACTTGGAATAACTTGGATGTACTTTTAAACAGGACTGTCTACTTGTATACTCGTTTTACATTGTTTTACATTTTTGTACAATTTTAGGACAATAAGAGAGACGTAATGATCGCGAGTTATCTTTATCTGTCTTACAAGTGACTGTCCTCTCAGGTAACATACAGAACAGTCTCCGGTAACGTACAGAACAGTCTCAGGTAACATACAGAACAGTCACAGGTAACGTACAGAACAGTCTCAGGTAACGTACAGAACAGTCTCCGGTAACGTACAGACCAGTCTCAGGTAACATACAGAACAGTCACAGGTAACGTACAGAACAGTCTCAGGTAACGTACAGAACAGTCACAGGTAACGTACAGAACAGTCACAGGTAACGTACAGAACAGTTATAGGTAACATATAGAACTGATACAGGTAACATATAGAACAGTTACAGAAAAGATATAGAGCAGTCACAGGTAACATATAGAACAGTCACAGGTAACGTACAGAACAGTCACAGGTAACGTACAGAACAGTCTCAGGTAACGTACAGAACAGTCACAGGTAACGTACAGAACAGTTATAGGTAACATATAGAACAGATACATGTAACATAAAGAACAGTTATAGGTAACATATAGAACAGTTATAGGTAACACATAGAACAGACACAGGTAACATATAGAGAACAGATACAGGTAACATAAAGAGCAGTTATAGGTAACGTACAGAACAGTCTCAGGTAACATACAGAACAGTCACAGGTAACGTACAGAACAGTCACAGGTAACGTACAGAACAGTCTCAGGTAACGTACAGAACAGTCTCAGGTAACATAAAGAACAGTCACAGGTAACTTACAGAACAGTCACAGGTAACATAAAGAACAGTCTCAGGTAACGTACAGAACAGTTATAGGTAACGTACAGAACAGTCTCAGGTAACGTACAGAACAGTCTCAGGTAACGTACAGAACAGTTATAGGTAACATATAGAACAGATACATGTAACATAAATAACAGTTATAGGTAACATATAGAACAGATACAGGTAACATATAGAACAGACACAGGTAACATATAGAGAACAGATACAGGTAACATAAAGAACAGTTACAGGTAACATATAGAGCAGTTATAGGTAACATATAGAACAGATACAGGTAACATATAGAACAGATACAGGTAACATATAGAGCAGTTAAAGGTAACGTACAGACAAGTCACAGGTAACATAAAGAACAGTTATAGGTAACATATAGAACAGATACAGGTAACATATAGAACAGTTACAGAAAAGATATAGAACAGTCACAGGTAACATATAGAACAGTCACAGGTAACATAAAGAACAGTTATAGGTAACATATAGAACAGTTACAGGTAACATATAGAACAGTTACAGAAAAGATATAGAGCAGTTACAGGTAATATATAGAGCAGTTATAGGTAACATAAAGAACAGTTATAGGTAACATATAGAACAGTTACAGGTTACATATGGAATAGTTACAGGTAACATATAGAACAGATACAGGCAACATATAGAACAGTTACAGGTAACATATAGAGAACAGTTACAAGTAACATATAGAGAACAGATACAGGTAACATAAAGAACAGTTACAGGTAACATGTTCCGTTATAACACAAAAGCGATCGATGACATCACAAGCACGTTCTAGTATCAGCTATATCACTCAGACGTTTAACACACGGGTCACAGATCTATGTGCAAGCCCTTACAGGAGAATTGGCAGCCGGAGGAACAGTGATATGTTTTCCAATGTTGTAATCTTTTAGAAAATTAAATTTATAGAGGAAAGTTTAATATCTACATAGAGGTTCTTGAAAAAGTACAATGAGACGGAGACTGAGTGTTCCAGAAGAGTAAGCATCTTCTGCTTCAACGTAAACACCGGCCATTTAAATTTTGGTCAGTTCAAGTAAGACTGTCACATTTACAAATGAGAACTAGGTATATGACAGCGGAAACACGAGGACAAACAGAAAACATCATTTCAACTTTTCTTTTTGACACTGTATTTGCTCACATTGTTTTTGCTTTATTTGTTTCAGCTATTTATTCTGAATCCGTACAAATTTGGGGACCTACCAGAAGAGGGCGCTCATATCTAATGCTACATGGCGCAGTTTCAATCATCGCAAGTGTATTGGCGCCTATAGCCACGGGTCCGTTTCTTACAGAGAAACAAGATGGAATATCCAACTCGTCATTATTATCAGATACTAACAATTCTGTCATAGGAAACGTTACAATACCATTCGTTTCCGATGGTTACATTACCGGAAGTTCTATATTGCCTCCGGATCAGAACTCATCTCGACTTTATATTGCCTATTCTATTTCCGCTGGCTTGTTCCTAGTAGTTGCTCTGCCATTTTTCAAATTATTCCGATTCTCTAAATCTAACAAAACAGCAATTTTAAAGAAAGAGAAAAACGAATTCATAGGATTATTTTCAATATTTCTGAAACGACTTCAATTATTTAACATTGGCGTTTTTAGTTTATTCCACAATGCTTTCGATTTTACGTTCACGGGTTATTTGAGTACGTTTTGTGTAAAGTATCTTCTATGGACTAACATGTCTGGGGCCATGCTCACGTCTACTGCTTTTTTCACCAGACTTGTAGGAAGCATATTTGGTATATTTCTTGTCCGTGGATTTCGATCAGATACACTTCTTTTACTCTCAACCACAGCGATTACAATAGGATTTTTGGGATTTACCGTCAGTGCGCATGTCTATAGTGATGTAGGAGTCTGGATATCTGTATGCGTCATTGGGATTCCTTTTGGTCTGATATGGCCGAATTTCCTGAGTTGGATTAATGCGAGTTTGATTCCAGTTAGGGGTGAAATATCGAGTTTTATAAATGTTACGTCATTTCTTGGCGCTCTACTGGCGCCAATGATTTTTGGTTACGTGATGGAGGAGATATCCCTTTTGTGGTTCTGTTATTTGTGTGTGGGGATATCAACAATCAATATTATCAACGCTATTTTGATAGTGTGCTATTCTAAATCAATGAAAACGTAAACGTTATCATAATCATTGCTACTATATCCAACTAATGAATTCCCTCATGGGACCATCTCTCGAACCATATTTACACATTGTATTGAGGATATTGAACAATATTTTAAATACCAGTTTACAAGTCGATAACAATTGCCTGTCATATTATAACCGTGCAGTTTTTAGGGTATAACGCGTACTGGATACGACATTTACAGGAGGGAAAATTGAAAGTTAGCGAAGATGAAACTTTGTTTTAGAGGTTTGCGATATGAATACTATTGTTCCAGTAGGTAATTTTGAAGAAAGTCTGCGACAGTCACTGATATGATAATATTAATTAAGAAAATATTTCTGTTCATCTCCAGTCCGTCTATCATATAGATTACGTTTCCATTGTGAATGTTTAGGAAACACGCAGTGGGTTCGCACCTGCTACGTTTGGCAGTGGTTGAAGACCTTGTTATATTACTGGAGAACTAATCCCAGTTTTAATTATTTTGGCGATAAGCGCATGTCTAAAATAAAACAATTCTCCTTCTTTACGCTCTAGTATAATCTCTCGACCTGATCATTTCCGACAGTTTTGTTAAATGGTGGAGGTATTTTTAGAGTATTGATGTATATATAAGTGTATATCTCACCCCAGTCAACTTCCACCTGTTACCTGAGTCTGTTGTAACGGGTAATGTTAGGTACTGTGTGTTATATATCACCCCAGTCTATCATCATCATTTATTATGATTTATATGTCATATTGAGCACAGCATTGCAATTTAAATGGACAATTTGTATACCTTATACTACACATAGGAAATAAATGTAAATAGTAGCAAAACAGATCTAGACTAGCAAATCTGTCAAGACGACGGGCGGCCGGACAAACCTTTTGGAAAAGTCGGAGAGACGGAAAGTAGTCAGACGGATAAAAAATACAATACAATTATACAATTCAGTCAACTTCCACCTGTTACCTAGATCTGTTGTAACGTTAAGTACTGTGTGTAATATCTCACCCCAGTCAACTTCCACCTGTTACCTGGGTCTGTTGTAACGTTAAGTACTGTGTGTAATATCTCACCCCAGTCAACTTCCACCTGTTACCTGGGTCTGTTGTAACGTTAAGTACTGTGTGTAATATCTCACCCCAGTCAACTTCCACCTGTTACTTGGGTCTGTTGTAACGTTAAGTACTGTGTGTAATATCTCACCCCAGTCAACTTCGACCTGTTACCTGGGTCTGTTGTAACGGGCAAAGTTAAGTACTGCGTGTAATATCTCACCCCAGTCAACTTCCACCTGTTACCTGGGTCTGTTGTAAAGTTAGGTACTGTGTGTAATATCTCACCCAAGTCAACTTCCACCTGTTACTGGGTCTGTTGTAACGTGTAAAGTTAAGTACTGTGTGTAATATCTCACCCCAGTTAACTTCCACCTGTTACCTGGGTCTGTTGTAAAGTTAAGTACTGTGTGTAATATCTCACCCCAGTCAACTTCCACCTGTTACTGGGTCTGTTGTAACGGGTAAAGTTAAGTACTGTGTGTAATATCTCACCCCAGTCAACTTCCACTTGTTACCTGGGTGTGTTGTAACGGGTAAAGTTAAGTACTGTGTGTAATATCTCACCCCAGTTAACATCCACCTGTTACTGGGTCTGTTGTAAAGTTAAGTACTGTGTGTAATATCTCACCCCAGTCAACTTCCACCTGTTACCTGGATCTGTTGTAACGGATAAAGTTAAGTACTGTATGTAATATCTCACCCCAGTTAACTTCCACCTGTTATCTGGGTCTGTTGTAACGGGTAAAGTTAAGTACTGTATGTAATATATCACCCCAGTCAACTTCCACCTGTTACCTGGGTCTGTTGTAAAGTTAAGTACTGTGTGTAATATCTCACCCCAGTTAACTTCCACCTGTTACCTGGGTCTGTTGTAAAGTTAAGTACTGTGTGTAATATATCACCCCAGTCAACTTCCACTTGTTACCTGGGTGTGTTGTAAAGTTAAGTACTGTGTGTAATATCTCACCCCAGTCAACTTCCACCTGTTACTGGGTCTGTTGTAACGGGTAAAGTTAAGTACTGTATGTAATATCTCACCCCAGTCAACTTCCACCTGTTACCTGGGTGTGTTGTAACGGATAAAGTTAAGTACTGTATGTAATATATCACCCCAGTTAACTTCCACCTGTTATCTGGGTCTGTTGTAACGGATAAAGTTAAGTACTGTATGTAATATCTCACCCCAGTCAACTTCCACCTGTTACCTGGGTGTGTTGTAACGGATAAAGTTAAGTACTGTATGTAATATATCACCCCAGTTAACTTCCACCTGTTATCTGGGTCTGTTGTAACGGATAAAGTTAAGTACTGTGTGTAATATCTCACCCCAGTCAACTTCCACCTGTTACCTGGGTCTGTTGTAACGGGTAAAGTTAAGTACTGTGTGTAATATCTCACCCCAGTCAACTTCCACCTGTTATCTGGGTCTGTTGTAACGTTAAGTACTGTGTGTAATATCTCACCCCAGTCAACTTCCACCTGTTACCTGGGTCTGTTGTAAAGTTAAGTACTGTGTGTAATATCTCACCCCAGTCAACTTCCACCTGTTACTGGGTCTGTTGTAACGGGTAAAGTTAAGTACTGTGTGTAATATCTCACCCAAGTCAACTTCCACCTGTTATCTGGGTCTGTTGTAAAGTTAAGTACTGTGTGTAATATCTCACCCAAGTCAACTTCCACCTGTTATCTGGGTCTGTTGTAAAGTTAAGTACTGTGTGTAATATCTCACCCAAGTCAACTTCCACCTGTTACTGGGTCTGTAAAGTTAAGTACTGTGTGTAATATCTCACCCCAGTCAACTTCCACCTGTTACTGGGTCTGTTGTAAAGTTAAGTACTGTATGTAATATATCACCCCAGTCAACTTCCACCTGTTACCTGGGTCTGTTGTAAAGTTAAGTACTGTGTGTAATATCTCACCCCAGTCAACTTCCACCTGTTACTGGGTCTGTTGTAACGGGTAAAGTTAAGTACTGTGTGTAATATATCACCCCAGTCAACTTCCACTTGTTACCTGGGTGTGTTGTAACGGGTAAAGTTAAGTACTGTGTGTAATATCTCTGTTGTAAAGTTAAGCACTGTGTGTAATGTCTCCCCAGTCAACTTCCACCTGTTACTGGGTCTGTTGTAAAGTTAAGTACTGTGTGTAATATCTCACCCCAGTCAACTTCCACCTGTTACCTGGATCTGTTGTAACGGATAAAGTTAAGTACTGTGTGTAATATCTCACCCCAGTCAACTTCCACCTGTTATCTGGGTCTGTTGTAACGGGTAAAGTTAAGTACTGTATGTAATATCTCACCCCAGTCAACTTCCACCTGTTACCTGGGTCTGTTGTAAAGTTAAGTACTGTGTGTAATATCTCACCCCAGTCAACTTCCACCTGTTACCTGGGTCTGTTGTAAAGTTAAGTACTGTGTGTAATATCTCACCCCAGTTAACATCCACCTGTTACTGGGTCTGTTGTAAAGTTAAGTACTGTGTGTAATATCTCACCCCAGTCAACTTCCACCTGTTACCTGGGTCTGTTGTAAAGTTAAGTACTGTGTGTAATATCTCACCCCAGTCAACTTCCACCTGTTATCTGGGTCTGTTGTAACGGGTAAAGTTAAGTACTGTGTGTAATTATTGTTGTACTGGGCATACTTGTATTATCTTTACAAAGAAGAAAATCTCCAGTAAATATTATTAATTTTGTACTGCACGTTTTGTAAGAATACATTCGATGTTATCTAACAAATTATACCTTGACTTGCCTATGAAATGATAATGTCGTCATGACGTCATGTGTCCTATCAAGCACATTATGTCCTGCTTCAAATTCCCAGACTGTAACATAGTTACAGATAGAAATGTCATTGCATTATATCACGTGGAAAGATCACAATAGTTTCGCTTGTTGTACTTGTCCAGTCTCCTTTACCTTATCCTTCTCCAGTTGTCCCGTTGTCCACTGACAGACCTGTAGTAGAATTATACCTGTTGTACCAGAACTTAGCCATGACACATCGAATACACAAAAGCTTTGAATAAATAAGAGTATCAGTTAAACTGATGAATGCTCCACGAAACCTCTTATAGTTTTGTGTTCAACTCCGGACAAATTTGAAGTGCGAAAAATAACAAAGGGCAATAACTCCTATACTATGCAAAAGAGAGTTTGAGTGTTGTACACTGCACTTCTACTTGTTAAGATATATCTACAGAAGGTACCTCTTATAGTTTTTGTGTTATGATCCGGACAAAATTCTGACGAACGGACGGGCGTACAGAAGGACGGACAAAGCTGCGACTAAATTATCTCCCTTCGGAAAGCATAAAACAGAAGCTTTAAAGAAAACCAAAACCTCATGTTTTAGGTAAAAATAAAACACTACATATATCAGAGCTTCTGCTGTGAAAACTTTTCAGATTGTTTGCTGTGTCTAATAAAAATATTCAACAATTTGTTTCTGATGTCTTCTCCTTCAGTTATAGGCCATGCCGTTGTGGTTTCTATGTTTGTTACCTTCGTCAGAATGTTGTTTTTTTTTATACTATTTTAAACCATATCATAGAATGTGTTATCAATAAAAGTACAATCAATGTAAATTCATCCATTGGCTAATTTACATGATCCAACAATTTAGTCCAATATTAATTTTTACAAAATACTTTTGGTCCAACATCTCTCACGATCACTTAATTTCCCCTCTTTAATGGCTACTTCCGGTTAGATATAACCGGTGCAAGTTGAGATCCAGTTGTATGATTAATGTGATTGTCTAAAGGGGCATAAATATTATGGTATAATAGACCAGTCAGTAAACTGAGTAAGTTAGTCACCAAAACTAATGTCAAAAGGAGTCACAATATTGGTCAGAAATATTATTAACGTCTTCATGTAAAAAATAGACAAAATCACAAGCTTGTATTGACTGTGCTATTTGAAATTAACTAAGAGTGTTGAATTTAGAATAATCTAAGACATGTGCTGTAGAATGAATTTATTATAACATAGATTTGCTTTTGCTAGAGAGTATGTCCATACAGTTCGCTTGATTCAATGCCAGTAGTATTTGTAAACATTACTTTTGTTTTGAAACAACTAGACATCTGTCCATACACCTTTTGTTACGACCAGCACAGTACATGGTACATTCTCCGGTGTTTTCGTCACGGTCAGCACACTGGAAATATTTGTGGCAGTGAGTATAGTCTTGCCAACACACACTCCAGCAGTCCCGGTCTATCCCTTCCATTGATGGAGCTCCCAGGATTTCGGCAGACTTAGAGCATGGAAGTAAACAGGCTACCAAAGTCATGGCGAGGATTATCATCTTCATTTTTATGTTCTGAAATTAACAATTACATCCACTTTATACCGAAATACTGAAATCAACGCGTGGATATCCTACAAGTTCCTTTTACTTACTGTTGACAATAATAATGGTCTTACGCCACAGAATCATTTATTAACTATATGGCTGTAATTATCAGTATATGGCTAATTTGACCATATTGTCGACTTTCGTTGGAGTATGGACTAGTAGTAGAAATTATGTTTTGATTGTCTCCCTTGTTATGTTACTCTTTATATACATTAGAACCTCACTGGGACATTGTACCTTTAGATCTCCAATGTCATCACCATTAACGTTATCATAAAGAATAAAACACATTTTATCCCATACCTAAATTACATAACTTCCGGTATATGTCGCAAACTTCCGGTACGTGTCTTATACTTCCAATACATGTCTCACACTTCCGGTACATGTTTCACACTCTCTAATGTAGTCGATACATAACAACATCCGACATCAAAGTGACGTTATGTCTCGTTAAAGATATATAGAGCAACAATGACATCGAATTTAGGTAAAGCAAACCTCTAATTGACGTGAATGTAACCTTGTATTACCGGATATAACATCGTCAGTCCATTCAAAAAGTGAATTAAATCGAGATACTTGGCTAGACAACAACAATATGTCCATGAACAATTAAATGTAATTCATCACTGAAATTATTCTAATGTACAATGGAATTATGACTGCTGTGTCTATTCTGTTCTGATCAAGTTACAAGTCTAAATATTTGAAAAATTTGACATCGTTGTGATTGTTAATACGTATACTTGTATTTCAGTCTTACCTTTACTATCCACCACAGATAAGGTCTCAGTTTCTTCCCTATGTGTGATCTCGATGTGGTGTCCGAACGAGCACACACTATTTATACAGACAGCACAACAAGATTTAAGTGTCATTAAATAATTAAATGTAATTATTGAACAAATGTCAACAGATGGAGCTTAGTGATAAGAATTTGACTAGATATTGTCTGTTGATAACAACACTAATTGATTTCTGCCGTTACAGCCTCATGATCTTAATGTGATACACGTGCTCTAAGTAAGGAATTAGTTCTTCATATATGTTATAATGGTCGTGTTACCTGGACATCTCTTCAGTAAACATGATGTTTTGTCACAAAGACAGAAAGGGTTAAATGATGAAAAATATCGTAATTAACTATTCTGATGAAATGAATTGTGAACAAAAAAAGTCACTTAATATCACTGGGGACACAAATGCCTTAATATCTTCACATAAAATCACATTAGTGATAATATTTTATATTTCAATGAACTATTTAGGTTGACATTCAGCGACACCATCACGTGACTGGAAGTTGCGTATCAAATGTATCATATCAAAGGCTTTCACGTAATTATGAAGATGTATATATATGTATACACTTAATCCAAAAAGCACATCTCATTTCTAAATTTGTTTACATATTTTGTGTTTTACTTTCCATCTCGCTCAGGTCGAATCAGAGTTACACACAGTACCTCGTCACTAATAATATTGTAATGATATTTATGACAATGACCCTCTATTTTCAATGGACAGATTATTTCAACGTTATAAGGGAAAGAATAGATGCTAGCTTCTCGACGTAATTATAAATTTATAAAGACTTATAAAAGAACAATTAAGTTGGGTTATATTTTGGAATCGACATGGTGGTTCTGTATAAGTATCACCCCTATTGAAAGTTAACATTGTTAACAACATACTTGTAGCGTTTGTCAATGTTTCGGCATGGATTGTCAATGAAGAGTTTTCAGTATAATAAAAATGTCTCTTTACACGACCCCGGATCGAAAGATAGGGGTATATTGTTTTTGCGCTGTCTGTTTGTTTGTTGTCAACTTTAACCTTGCCGATAACTATAGCACCGTTGAAAGTAGGGTTTTCATATTTGGCATGTGTGTTTCTTGTGACAAGACCTTTCCGGTGGTACCAAAACTTTGACATTATCCGTGACCTTTGACCTACATAAAAATAACATTGAACCACAACTATTGAACAAAAACTGTCAAATCATTACCACAGAGAAAACATGAAGTGTGGACGCAATTAGCACATGTCTTACACAGTACAGTTGTAATGTCTCACTTTAGAATTTGGTTTTCAACCGGAGGCATAATCTTGTTCCCAATATTTTTGTCATTCATCCTACCTGTATATTTGTGTTGACTTTGACAATGCTTGTTTCTCTCCGTCAGTTTTTTCATGTATTGTAAGTACAATTAACATTATCAAAAGTATGCTTCACGCTGTAAATGCTTACAAACTACATGAAACACGTTTTCCCCCTGAAATTCGATGATACATGTGTCTGTGATAATAAATTATCATGTAGATTTAAAGTCGATTACAAATATGGATTTATTTATGGAACAAAACTTTGTTGCCCTTGATAAATCAAACTTTTTATAATTTATAATGTATATGTATGTTTTGGAGGATAAAGACGTTTAATTATGGTTTACAAGTACAAATGATCTAAGCATGTATTGATTCCGTTCATATATTACTGACAACATGCACAGTGTCTGTATTAAGTCTGCAGTGGTATAATGTACGCTGTCAGAAAATGGCAGGTGTTCAACAGATAACCATCTCTGATGCTGGTGATATCACGGACAGATGACTGGGCCGGACAATGGGCCGACATCAGACAGACGAGCTGTGATTTGACCACTATATAACGCAGGGACGTGGTTATCGACCTTTGGATCCGTAATTAATTGTTAATTAACAGAGACATATTGATCCCTATCATCGACTAGGTAATATCAGGTGTTAGGCAATGGTTCGTGTAAGTATTCATAGTTAGGCTATTTAGTTATACTTGGTTTGGTTTAAAGGTCATTTTGTGAGTATTATCAGACATAAAGCATACGGCCTTGGCGAATGCATTATCAACCCATACTGTAGTTCTTCATTTAATTCCACTTTGGGTGAGTAACATGCAGCAAACGACGGCCTTGATTTGGTTGATTTAGGATTAAATTATCTGGGGTTATTTCGAAGGATATCAAGGCATACACTGCAGGAAACTAGAGGGAAAGGTACAGATGTTATAAAAATATTGCTATGATAGCAGATGATAAAAATCTCTTCAACTGAAGATACATTAGTCGCCTCTCATTTTAGCTGTTGTGTTTCCTCGAACGTATAAATAGGCCAGGGAGAATTATAAAACGTATGCGAAGGCGTGTCTGTCATTACTAGTAGGAAGGAATTTCAGTTCGATATTTCTTCTCCTCGGATTTCTATAAAGTTTTTAAGTAAACAAATGAGAAAGGATATCGAAATTGATCTAATGATACTGGTCAAAAGTCTTTAGTGTTGTCAGATGAGAGTGGCTGATGTTCTGCTATCTATTCTCATTTTGTTCTTTGAATTTGAAAGTGCAAATTATACTTCCTTTAAAACTTATCTCACATCTCATGAAAAATAAGATATGTTTTAATCAACTTTGAAAACAAACATAAATTGGTACAAGACATGACCTCGCAATCATACAAAGATATCTGATGCATCGTATACAATATACAGTTACAATACAGCATAATTACAAGCTATAGAGACAAACATCTTGAAATAGTGCTTCATCAAATCATTTTTAAGAATAAAATATTTGAAAACATGTAATTTCAAACATAGTAATGTTTGTCTATATTTGTTTATACCCAAACCACGAAATATTGACACACCTTCTTTACTATACTATTTCACTTCCGCAGAAATCATGACATTGCTACTCATGTTTACAAAGTTGTCAAAACGAAATTAAACCCAGGAAATAGGTTTGGGACTTTTCTAATCACTGTTATGTACTCTGTAGATAACAACTTGTGTTTGTTATAATGTATAGTTCCGCGTTTCCTACTACACCACTTTGTTGACAAAATCAAACATTGGTATAATGTCAAAAAATTAACTATCAATAATATCAGAATAAATCCTGTTCACCTCTGTTCGACTTCAGGTCAATCTATTGTTTTTCATGATATTAATATACAGACGATTTCACAAAAACATATTTACCACTAAAACATATTCACCACTAAAACATTCACCACTTTATAACCTGATTGTGTGACAGCGTTGTCCGTTTACTGAAAATCTTTTCGTGTTAGACCTCGTTTTTCTCTGTTGACCTTCACAATGACATCAGCAAAATACTTTTGATTAATTTGATTAAATGACTTTATGAGCTGTTCTACTTGGTCGGGTGTGGCCACCTTTCCCCGCCATTCCCAAAGGATTTCAAATATGGTGACGACATGGGGCTGGTTGACGCTCTTGATGTCTAGAATGTCCTCGTACTGCAGGCCGAGCTGGGAGCCAAGCACTTGCGCCATCTGGATGTTGATTGCGCTGGAGAGGGCCAGTAAGCTCTGATGGCTTAATATTGGTACATCATCTGACGAGAGAAATTAATCTATGTTATACCGGTACGAAATTACAATTTCAATATCAATCGTGGCCAGTTATGGATGTTTTCATCACATCTGTATCTCAAACTCAACTCGAACTTTTATTGAAATCTCGAATTCAAACTCAACTCTAACGTTTATTGAAATCTCGAATTCAAACTCAACTCGAACTTTTATTGAAATTCGGACTTGTTAACATGGATACTGTTACTTTATATCATTACATCACCTGGTACACGTCCGGCTGGTTGATCCACTGGCTCGTAAATACTGTCTTTATCAAAGTATAAGTCACTTCATACTTACCGAAGATAGAGCGATACTGGATGGACGATCGGACAGACTTGGTGGAGGAGCGCGTGGATCCACGTGACCATTGGTTAGTCCTTCCAATCGTAGCTGTAAAGTAATCACAACTAGTTATCAGATAGAACGAAATAAACACAAATATAATTATGTTTACAAGGATGTTGTGACACAGTCAAAAGGGGACGATAAAACGAGACGATTTCTACCGAATACTTCATTGTACAGAGTTACTATCGGCAGTAAATCTTTGTGTATCAGTTTTGTGTCTACATATATTAATTCTACACAACCAGAAAATAGATATAAAAACTATCGTGTAATATGTATAATTCAAATCTAGGGAGAAGATATGTATGCTTTTTGTTATTTTCTTTTATACATCGATGTACCGTGTCAACAATAAGATTAGCACAGAAACTTCACACAAAAACCTATAATGGAACATAGTTTTACAAAACTGAGCCTAATCAAGGAAAGCTTTGATTTACCGGCCTTTATCCAGCCCCTGACGTACAGTGAGTCCGTGTGGGCGGTAAATTTATCACCACTAAGCTATAGATTTCTACTGACAAACATAATGGTATACAATACTGGTAAAACGGAAACACATAGTTTCATGGTTTAATGTAGAAACGTATTGATCTGATGAAATAAACGTCCTCTAACGGATATTTCAATTAAGAAGTGCTTAACTCAATAGATTGAAATAGTAATAAAATACATTGAATGTGTTGATAATTATCGGACTGGGTTTTGTGAACTGTTGGATGTTTCAATCGCTTGTTCCTCACTGTTTGTTCAACCAAATAGAATTTTCCACTCATAAATTTGAAGACAATGTTCGATAAAATGAACACTTCTACGCCTGACATAATCAAACCATTTAATTATATTTCTTCTAAATCTACTAAATAGTATATAAAACAAAGCTTAAAATGTTCACAGGACATTATTCTAGTTATAGAAACATACCATAGCGATGTTAATGCCTAATGTTGGCAGGGTAACGTTACGCTATGTCAAAAAGTTAAGTAAAAATAGGAATGAAGGGAAGAAAGGTACTTATACATCACGGTGGGAATTGTAGATCTGTGTACAGCTATAAAGGGACAAACGGTAGGTATATATCACGGACTGTAGATCTGTGTACAGCTATATAGAGACAAACGGTAGGTATATATCACGGTGGAGATTGTAGATCTGTGTACAGCTATATAGAGACAAACGGTAGGTATATATCACGGTGGAGATTGTAGATCTGTGTACAGCTATATAGAGACACACGGTAGGTATATATCACGGATTGTAGACCTGTGTACAGCTATATAGGGACAAACGGTAGGTATATATCACGGTGGAGATTGTAGATCTGTGTACAGCTATATAGAGACAAACGGTAGGTATATATCACGGATTGTAGACCTGTGTACAGTTATATAGGGACAAACGGTAGGTATATATCACGGATTGTAGACCTGTGTACAGCTATATAGGGACAAACGGTAGGTATATATCACGGATTGTAGATCTGTGTACAGTTATATAGAGACAAACGGTAGGTATATATCTATATCAGGTATATATCACGGATTGTAGACTGTGTACAGCTATATAGAGACAAACGGTAGGTATATATCACGGATTGTAGATCTGTGTACAGCTATATAGAGACAAACGGTAGGTATATATCACGGATTGTAGACCTGTGTACAGCTATATAGGGACAAACGGTAGGTATATATCACGGATTGTAGACCTGTGTACAGCTATATAGAGACAAACGGTAGGTATATATCACGGATTGTAGACCTGTGTACAGCTATTGTAGGACCTGTGTACAGTTATATAGAGACAAACGGTAGGTATATATCACGGTGGAGATTGTAGATCTGTGTACAGCTATATAGAGACAAACGGTAGGTATATATCACGGACTGTAGATCTGTGTACAGCTATATAGAGACAAACGGTAGGTATATATCACGGTGGAGATTGTAGATCGGTGTACAGCTATATAGGGACAAACGGTAGGTAAATATCACGGTGGGGATTGTAGATCGGTGTACAGCTATATAGAGACAAACGGTAGGTATATATCACGGTGGAGATTGTAGATCTGTGTACAGCTATATAGAGACAAACGGTAGGTATATATCACGGATTGTAGATCTGTGTACAGCTATATAGAGACGATGGACACACGGTAGGTATATATCACGGTGGAGATTGTAGATCTGTGTACAGCTATATAGAGACAAACGGTAGGTATATATCACGGTGGGGATTGTAGATCTGTGTACAGCTATATAGAGACAAACGGTAGGTATATATCACGGATTGTAGACCTGTGTACAGTTATATAGAGACAAACGGTAGGTATATATCACGGATTGTAGATCTGTGTACAGTTATATAGCTATATAGAGACAAACGGTAGGTATATATCACGGTGGGGATTGTAGATCTGTGTACAGCTATATAGAGACAAACGGTAGGTATATATCACGGTGGAGATTGTAGATCTGTGTACAGCTATATAGAGACGATGGACACACGGTAGGTATATATCACGGATTGTAGATCTGTGTACAGCTATATAGGGACAAACGGTAGGTATATATCACGGTGGAGATTGTAGATCTGTGTACAGATATATAGAGACAAACGGTAGGTATATATCACGGATTGTAGATCTGTGTACAGCTATATAGAGACAAACGGTAGGTATATATCACGGATTATAGATCTTTGTACAGCTATATAGAGACGATGGACACACGGTAGGTATATATCACGGATTGTAGATCTGTGTACAGCTATATAGAGACGATGGACAAACGGTAGGTATATATCACGGACTGTAGATCTGTGTACAGCTATATAGAGACAAACGGTAGGTATATATCACGGACTGTAGATCTGTGTACAGCTATATAGAGACAAACGGTAGGTATATATCACGGTGGAGATTGTAGATCTGTGTACAGCTATATAGAGACAAACGGTAGGTATATATCACGGATTGTAGATCTGTGTACAGCTATATAGAGACAAACGGTAGGTATATATCACGGATTGTAGATCTGTGTACAGCTATATAGAGACAAACGGTAGGTATATATCACGGTGGAGATTGTAGATCTGTGTACAGCTATATAGAGACAAACGGTAGGTATATATCACGGACTGTAGATCTGTGTACAGCTATATAGAGACAAACGGTAGTATATATATCACGGATTGTAGATCTGTGTACAGCTATATAGAGACAAACGGTAGGTATATATCACGGATTGTAGATCTGTGTGCTATATACAGCGGTAGGTATATATATAGATCTGTGTACAGCTATATAGAGACGATGGACAAACGGTAGGTATATATCACGGATTGTAGACCTGTGTACAGCTATATAGGGACAAACGGTAGGTATATATCACGGATTGTAGATCTGTGTACAGCTATATAGAGACAAACGGTAGGTATATATCACGGTGGGGATTGTAGATCTGTGTACAGCTATATAGAGACAAACGGTAGGTATATATCACGGATTGTAGACCTGTGTACAGTTATATAGGGACAAACGGTAGGTATATATCACGGATTGTAGATCTGTGTACAGCTATATAGAGACAAACGGTAGGTATATATCACGGTGGAGATTGTAGATCTGTGTACAGCTATATAGAGACGATGGACATACGGTAGGTATATATCACGGATTATAGATCTGTGTACAGCTATATAGAGACGATGGACACACGGTAGGTATATATCACGGATTGTAGATCTGTGTACAGCTATATAGAGACGATGGACACACGGTAGGTATATATCACGGATTATAGATCTGTGTACAGCTATATAGAGACAAACGGTAGGTATATATCACGGATTGTAGATCTGTGTACAGCTATATAGAGACGATGGACACACGGTAGGTATATATCACGGATTGTAGATCTGTGTACAGCTATATAGAGACAAACGGTAGGTATATATCACGGACTGTAGATCTGTGTACAGCTATATAGAGACAAACGGTAGGTATATATCACGGACTGTAGATCTGTGTACAGCTATATAGAGACAAACGGTAGGTATATATCACGGTGGGGATTGTAGATCTGTGTACAGCTATATAGAGACAAACGGTAGGTATATATCACGGTGGGGATTGTAGATCTGTGTACAGCTATATAGAGACAAACGGTAGGTATATATCACGGGATGTAGACCTGTGTACAGCTATATAGAGACAAACGGTAGGTATATATCACGGTTGTAGATCTGTGTATATATAGAGACACGGTAGGTATATATCACGGATTGTAGATCTGTGTACAGCTATATAGAGACAAACGGTAGGTATATATCACGGATTGTAGATCTGTGTACAGCTATATATACGGTAGGTATATATCACGGATTGTAGAAACGGTAGGTATATATCACGGATTGTAGACCTGTGTACAGTTATATAGAGACAAACGGTAGGTATATATCACGGATTGTAGATCTGTGTACAGTTATATAGGGACAAACGGTAGGTATATATCACGGATTGTAGACCTGTGTACAGCTATATAGAGACAAACGGTAGGTATATATCACGGATTGTAGATCTGTGTACAGCTATATAGAGACAAACGGTAGGTATATATCACGGACTGTAGATCTGTGTACAGCTATATAGAGACAAACGGTAGGTATATATCACGGTGGGGATTGTAGATCTGTGTACAGCTATATAGAGACAAACGGTAGGTATATATCACGGATTGTAGATCTGTGTACAGCTATATAGAGACAAACGGTATAGAAGATTGTAGATCTGTGTACAGCTATATAGAGACAAACGGTAGGTATATATCACGGACTGTAGATCTGTGTACAGCTATATAGAGACAAACGGTAGGTATATATCACGGATTGTAGATCTGTGTACAGCTATATAGATACGGTAGGTATATATCACGGATTGTAGACTGTGTACAGCTATATAGGACAAACGGTAGGTATATATCACGGATTGTAGATCTGTGTACAGCTATATAGAGACAAACGGTAGGTATATATCACGGATTGTAGATCTGTAGATCTGTTTACTATATACAGCTATATAGAGACAAACGGTAGGTATATATCACGGTATCTGTGTATATATCACGGATTGTAGATCTGTGTACAGCTATATAGAGACAAACGGTAGGTATATATCACGGTATCTGTGTATATATAGAGACACGGTAGGTATATATCACGGACTGTAGATCTGTGTACAGCTATATAGAGACAAACGGTAGGTATATATCACGGACTGTAGATCTGTGTACAGCTATATAGGGGCAAACGGTAGGTATATATCACGGATTGTAGATCTGTGTACAGCTATATAGAGACGATGGACACACGGTAGGTATATATCACGGATTGTAGATCTGTGTACAGCTATATAGAGACGATGGACACACGGTAGGTATATATCACGGATTGTAGATCTGTGTACAGCTATATAGAGACGATGGACACATGGTAGGTAGGGCAAGGATTCGTTGGTATGTAATATTCTTAGTATGAAAGGAAGTAAATATGTAATGAAAGGGAAGAACACGTATGATGTAAAATCTTACCAAACACATTCATCATTCCTACAAACAATGTCGTTTAAATGATTAGAACATTCTTTACAATGATCAGTAATTTTATTTCTGTTGAAACAAAAAATAACACTGATATATAATTTCTTTATGAAAACAAATACCCGTTTGTTTACAGAATAAAAAAATCGCTGTCAGTAAATAGTGTGGATATTACATGTTTCACACAATAGTATGGTACTCTTAACCAATTAATCTCAATATCCATCTTAACATTTGTCTTGTCCTATTTCATTCCCCTACACGGCCGCGAAATATCCTTACTTAAGGCTTTTAGCACCATCGACAAGTCCTAGAAGGATGAAACGACGTGACGTCATCAACGCGCCTTAGAAGGCAGACATCTGTATGATACAGTTTACCTCATTATTTAACATAAAAGGTATCTTATTCTAGATGGTATGTCTGACATGTATGTATAATATATGACCAGTAGCTTTCACTATTGTGAGGTGAAATATCACAATTGATGTATAAATATATTTATAACTTGGTACTGACGAGAACATCAATTCGATTGTACCTGTATACAGTGTAATAAAGGCGATGCAAAGGTGACATCATATAATTACATACCTGTATACATTGTTATAAGGCGACGGAAAGGTGACATTACATACCTGTATACAGTGTTATAAGGCGGTGGAAAGGTGACATTACATACCTGTATACATTATTATAAGGCGATGGAAAGGTGACATTACATACCTGTATACATTGTTATAAGGCGATGGAAAGGTGACATCATATAATTACATACCTGTATACATTATTATAAGGCGATTGAAAGGTGACATTACATACCTGTATACATTATTATAAGGCGATGGAAAGGCGACATCATATAATTACATACCTGTATACATTGTTATAAGGCGGTGGAAAGGTGACATCATATAATTACATACCTGTATACATTGTTATAAGGCGGTGGAAAGGTGACATCATATAATTACATACCTGTATACAGTGTTATAAGGCGATGGAAAGGTGACATCATATAATTACATACCTGTATACATTATTATAAGGCGATGGAAAGGTGACATTACATACATTGTTATAAGGCTGGAAAGGTGACACATACATACCTGTATACATTGTTATAAGGCGGTGGAAAGGTGACATCATATAATTACATACCTGTATACAGTGTTATAAGGCGATGGAAAGGTGACATTACATACCTGTATACATTATTATAAGGCGGTGGAAAGGTGACATCATATAATTACATACCTGTATACAGTGTTATAAGGCGATGGAAAGGTGACATCATATAATTACATACCTGTATACATTGTTATAAGGCGGTGGAAAGGTGACATCATATAATTACATACCTGTATACATTATTATAAGGCGATGGAAAGGTGACATTACATACCTGTATACATTATTATAAGGCGGTGGGAAGGTGACATCATATAATTACATACCTGTATACAGTGTTATAAGGCGATGGAAAGGTGACATTACATACCTGTATACATTATTATAAGGCGGTGGAAAGGTGACATCATATAATTACATACCTGTATACATTGTTATAAGGCGATGGAAAGGTAACATCATATAATTACATACCTGTATACATTGTTATTAGGCGATGAAAAGGTGACAATACAAACCTGTATACATTGTTATAAGGCGATGGAAAGGTAACATTACATACCTGTATACATTGTTATAAGGCGATGGAAAGGTGACATCATATAATTACATACCTGTATACAATGTAATAAGGCGATTGAAAGGTGACATTACATACTAGTATACATCGTTATAAGGCGGTGGAAAGGTGACATCATATAATTACATACCTGTATACAGTGTTATAAGGCGATGGAAAGGTGACATTACATACCTGTATACATTATTATAAGGCGGTGGAAAGGTGACATCATATAATTACATACCTGTATACAGTGTTATAAGGCGATGGAAAGGTGACATCATATAATTACATACCTGTATACATTGTTATTAGGCGATGAAAAGGTTACAATACAAACCTGTATACATTGTTATAAGGCGATGGAAAGGTAACATTACATACCTGTATACATTGTTATAAGGCGATGGAAAGGTGACATCATATAATTACATACCTGTATACAATGTAATAAGGCGATTGAAAGGTGACATTACATACTAGTATACATCGTTATAAGGCGGTGGAAAGGTGACATTACATACCTGTATACATTATTATAAGGCGGTGGAAAGGTGACATCATATAATTACATACCTGTATACAGTGTTATAAGGCGATGGAAAGGTGACATTACATACCTGTATACATTATTATAAGGCGGTGGAAAGGTGACATCATATAATTACATACCTGTATACATTGTTATAAGGCGATGGAAAGGTGACATTACATACCTGTATACATTGTTATAAGGCGATGGAAAGGTGACATTACATACCTGTATACAGTGTTATAAGGCGATGGAAAGGTGACATTACATACCTGTATACATTGTTATAAGGCGATGGAAAGGTGACATTACATACCTGTATACATTGTTATAAGGCGATGGAAAGGTAACATTACATACCTGTATACATTGTTATAAGGCGATGGAAAGGTGACATCATATAATTACATACCTGTATATAATAACGATTGAAAGGTGACATTACATACCTGTATAAGGCGTTATAAGGCGGTGGAAAGGTGACATCATATAATTACATACCTGTATACAGTGTTATAAGGCGATGGAAAGGTGACACATTACATACCTGTATACAGGTGTTATAAGGCGATGGAAAGGTGACATTACATACCTGTATACATTGTTATAAGGCGATGGAAAGGTGACATTACATACCTGTATACATTGTTATAAGGCGATGGAAAGGTGACATCATATAATTACATACCTGTATACAATGTAATAAGGCGATTGAAAGGTGACATTACATACCTGTATACATCGTTATAAGGCGGTGGAAAGGTGACATCATATAATTACATACCTGTATACAGTGTTATAAGGCGATTGAAAGGTGACATTACATACCAGTATACATCGTTATAAGGCGGTGGAAAGGTGACATTACATACCTGTATACATTATTATAAGGCGATGGAAAGGTGACATTACATACCTGTATACATTGTTATAAGGCGATGGAAAGGTGACATTACATACCTGTATACATTGTTATAAGGCGATGGAAAGGTGACATCATATAATTACATACCTGTATACAATGTAATAAGGCGATTGAAAGGTGACATTACATACCAGTATACATCGTTATAAGGCGGTGGAAAGTACATACATACCTGTATACATTATTATAAGGCGATGGAAAAGGTGACATTACATACCTGTATACATTGTTATAAGGCGATGGAAAGGTGACATTACATACCTGTATACATTGTTATAAGGCGATGGAAAGGTAACATTACATACCTGTATACATTGTTATAAGGCGATGGAAAGGTGACATCATATAATTACATACCTGTATACAATGTAATAAGGCGATTGAAAGGTGACATTACATACCAGTATACATCGTTATAAGGCGGTGGAAAGGTGACATTACATACCTGTATACATTATTATAAGGCGATGGAAAGGTGACATTACATACCTGTATACATTGTTATAAGGCGATGGAAAGGTAACATTACATACCTGTATACATTGTTATAAGGCGATGGAAAGGTGACATCATATAATTACATACCTGTATACAATGTAATAAGGCGATTGAAAGGTGACATTACATACCAGTATACATCGTTACAAGGCGGTGGAAAGGTGACATTACATACCTGTATACATTATTATAAGGCGATGGAAAGGTGACATTACATACCTGTATACATTGTTATAAGGCGATGGAAAGGTGACATTACATACCTGTATACATTGTTATAAGGCGATGGAAAGGTGACATTACATGCATGTATACATTACTATAAGGCGATGGAAAGGTGACATTACATACGTATATACAATGTTATAAGGCGGTGGAAAGGTGACATCATATAATTACATACCTGTATACATTTCCTAATCACTTTAACTATAAATTACCTGCGATTTCAATAGAATTTTTAAACGGTAATATATTCAAACGTTTCTTTCTAATACTGTTCCTGGTGATGAGTTCTCTGTACCATTCCCGGGAGGGGAGTGGTCCGGCCTGTTCCATCACCACTCCCCACGAATCATCCTACATCTGTAGTCCACACAGCTTTATAAATACTAACGGTACCACGTTCTTTTATCTTTACACAACAGCCTTGTAACACTACCTTGTAGTCTAAAGGTCTGTGAAATTATTCAAAAGGCGACGTATATACACACAGTGTACGGGTGGGTAGTTTGTTACAGCCCTGACTCAATGAGACCAATTAAAATGTCGGCATGTTTAAAGGTACCGATATATACAGGTAAAAATTATAGTATAGCAATTCATCGCGACAGAATATAATACTGAAACAACGATATATTGTTTATAGAAAGGTCCCCCAATAATTATGATAATCAATATATCGGTTAGGCAGACAACTGTCCATTCAGAAATATTCGTCTATTGTTGTTTGTAAACAATGTAAATAAGTTGTACTGGGTTCTAGCGTTTTGTATTGATTGTGTTGCAGTGTGGGACTAACATTTAACACGGATAAGGAATGATTCATCAGTTATTTAACTATCAACACTTCATGTTACTGCGTGGAACATAACCTGGTGGGCCAGTTCATCATTCTATAAATCACAATAGAGACTGATAATGTCTAACATTCTGGTTTACTTCCTATTTCATGGTGAATTATTGTGAAGTAAAAACACATGTACATTATTTGTTTTAAACAGTATATATTTCTAGAAGTTGGTCCGCATTATAATAATTAATGGTGTGTTATGGATACTTGGTTCCTTGTATGTGTTCGATTTATTTAAAAAATGATTAGCTGTCAACGGTTAAAATGCCGGTTCGTGACAAGTATTGGGCTTACATGGGTACGTGAGCATAACTTTTGCACAGTGACATTTATAGGTGTAAGAATTTACTTGTGCACAGCAATATTTATTGCTGTGTTTGGCTTACTTGTGCTAGGTAACATTTATATCACGTCTCTGAGAGGTGTTGGCCTTACTTGTGCACAATAACATGTGAAACAAGTCGCTGAAAAGTGTTACTTGTGCACAGTAACATGTGAAACAAGTCGCTGACAAGTGTTACTTGAGCACAGTAACGTGTGTACGAGGTCGCTAACAGGTGTTGGCCATGTTTCAAGTCAGTCGATATGCATTATCAGAAACTGATAACCAGCGATCAACACATATGTCAAACTTGACTAACCCCCTTTAATAATTAATCTGCCAAATATATACACACGGTCTCTTTTCATACCAACATTAACTATACTGCGACAATTTACATGTTAAATAGCTGAAATGGTGAACAAACCACGTCGATAGAAAAATGAAAACGAACTAGAGTATTTTGACTTTTTGAAAATGTAACAGGACATATTTGAATCCGTATTTTACTAGTGATAGTTGTAAGGAGCCCGTGTTTTATCTAATACTGTTTGTCTACTTCCTACGGTATCGCTCCGTGAACAAACACGCTTTTAACTACCACACTGATCAGCATGCGAGAGGCCAGTCACAACCTTACAAAATCAATTGGGATGAAATTTCGACAAAACCGGGATAATACAGTAGTCAGATCTGGAACAGATCCAATCATACATCTTTGTGTTTAAGGTTGTTGAGTCCTAATCTCTACCAGCTAGGCTTCTGGTAACCACTGCCACACCTCAAAAACCAACAGTATTAAATTTCGTAATACTGGAATATTTTGTTAGTGCATTAACGAAATATAATTGAAAACAGGCACATTTTTTAACTGTCAGGTACATTATGTAGTAATATCTCTATGCAGTAATCCATATCTTATTTAATAGCACCAATAGACATTGAATTAAACTACATCATACAGTTGTTTAGTTCCTCTAAGACTCATCGGTGACGCTGTATCATACAGCTGTTTCGTCCTTCTAGGACTCGTCAGTGATGCTGTATCATACAGCTGTTTCGTCCTTCTAGGGTCCGTCAGTGATGTTACATCATACAGCTGTTTCGTCCTTCTAGGCCTCGTTAGTGATACTGCATCATACAGCTGTTTCGTCCTTCTAGGCCTCGTCAGTGACGCTGTATCATACAGCTGTTTCGTCCTTCTAGGACTCGTCAGTGATGCTGTATCATACAGCTGTTTCGTCCTTCTAGGGTCCGTCAGTGATGTTACATCATACAGCTGTTTCGTCCTTCTAGGCCTCGTCAGTGATACTGCATCATACAGCTGTTTCGTCCTTCTAGGCCTCGTCAGTGACGCTGTATCATACAGCTGTTTCGTCCTTCTAGGCCTCGTCAGTGACGCTGTATCATACAGCTGTTTCGTCCTTCTAGGACTCGTCAATGACACTGCATCATACAGCTGTTTCGTCCTTCTAGGACTCGTCAGTGACGCTGTATCATACAGCTGTTTCGTCCTTCTAGGCCTCGTCAGTGACGCTGTATCATACAGCTGTTTCGTCCTTCTAGGACTCGTCAGTGATGCTACATCATACAGCTGTTTCGTCCTTCTAGGCCTCGTCAGTGACGCTGTATCATACAGCTGTTTCGTCCTTCTAGGCCTCGTCAGTGACGCTGTATCATACAGCTGTTTCGTCCTTCTAGGCCTCGTCAGTGACGCTGTATCATACAGCTGTTTCGTCCTTCTAGGACTCGTCAATGATACTGCATCATACAGCATTTACATGTGGCTATGGACGGTTTATCATACCTTACTGCGCGAAATTGGAATGAGGAATGAAATAATTGGAAAGACGTTTTTAGAACGTTCTGTATTGCGGACTAATTGTAAATAGATGTGTTCGGATTCTGTTGTTGTCCTTTGATAAACAGTGATGACTTTTAATGTAAATACACAGGATCTTGTCATCATTTTCAAACCCATGGTCCGTATTTATAATTGTATAATAAATTATAAATGATAAATCCCTATGATAAATAGTAATAATCACATACCTGGTCTGTTCTCTGAGTAGGATGTTTTCAGCCTGGACATGCTGACCAGAAATCGGTTGGTATCAAGGGTAACGGTGTGTAGAAATGTATCCAGTCCATCGACTTTTTTGAAGAAATTAACTATCCCAACATGGCGACCACGTGGGTCCTTCCTCGGCTCGAGCGGAAAAGAACGGTAATTATCACGGCAGCTACTTGTATATATAATGGAGAAAAAGTCATTCGGAATCTCCCGGATTTTCTGTATATTTCCATCGGTATCAAATGTAACAGTCTCGTTTTCCTTGAGTCGGATATCTACAGATCGATTTCCTGGGATTTCGAAAAGTCCTTCTTTAGCTCGCCGTCTCAGAGCTCGCTTGACGAACCTCTTCTCAACGATTTCAATCCATATTTTAACCACACCGACATGTAGAAGACTTTTATCTAGGAACGTCAGGATAGAACACATGTGTTCCTCCCCTAGATACAACTTCAGTTCGTCCTCCACAAAACCCTTAGACTTCCTCATAAACTTCTTCTTCACTTTTGCAAGAGCGATTCTGACAATATTAAATAGGATATATGATTATTACTGAATTCACAATCATTTGGTTTAAAGTAACTAATTAATGTATATTTGTCGAACAACATACTAAACAAAAAATCAAATCATATCTAACAGACCACCGAAGTATCATGTTAATGACTGAGTATATCGTTAAAACAAGCGAGATATTTTGTTTCGGTTTTATCTTCTAAGGACATTTTTGAAAATCTTCGTGGAAATTTTTAGTTTTACAAATATATGAAGATAAAAAGTCAAGTATCTGATATTGTAATAAGACATACTTGCTATACATGTATACTAAATGAATCAAAAATCTCATAATGATGTCATTGTTAAAAGATCGGGTTTTCGTTACTGTACAGAATGCATGTACAGATTTTGTATCGATTCCTGTCCGAGTTACCTCCCTTCTTGTATCTCATTTCACTTCGCCTCGTTTCGCAATTAACTGGTTACTATTTATCTAATAAATTTTGTAGACATTAATAGATTTAATACAGAACACCTCTCTGTTCAATAAACTAACAATATAAGGTAGGAATTGTTCAAGATATACTTATGTCAGGTGAATTTAACTTAACGACTTTACGTAAAAAAAAAACTGCATCTAAAATCTTAATTACATTTGAGAGTTTGAAATAAGGCACAGATAACAATACAGAGAAAACCAGCTTGAATTTTCTGAAATATTTTACATCAATTTCGAATGGAGAATAACGGGAAAAAATGTTACAGCTAGTCACAAAGATTAACAAGAATCAAGCATTGGCTTTATATAAAATTAGTATGGACTTACTTGTTGTGTAATGATAATATTATACATAAAATACCTTAACAAAATAGAATATTCCAATCTGAAAGTTTAACTACTACATCTATATATACAGCTTAGAGCGTACCCATTAAACCTGTCCACTTGGAATGTGTAACAGCTTGTTGTGGACTCGCACCGCATGGCCGACCTTTTCTGGAGAATTTCCGTCTCCTCGTTACCACCGATACGGAACATAACGATCTCCGAGTCAGGGTCGTCTATATCATTGATAATTGGCAAGTGCATCAGGGCTGGTTCCTGTAACAAAAATAATCAATCAGACATACGCTGCTATGGCTTATTATGTGACTTTTTATTTACAGTAAACTCGTCAATAAAGGCAACTTAGGAGAGAAGGAAAAAGTGACCGTAAGAGGCCGATGGCCTTTATCAAGAGATTTTTATCTAAAATAAGGAGTTCTTATAAACAGGTATTTGCTATATATAGAAGGCAGCCGAGATGTCGGACATCGATTCTTATCAAAATATCTAGGTATTTGCGGTTTGATTATCACGTAATAGCAAACCGGAAGTCAAGCAGAAACAAAGCGGAAGTCAAACAGGACCACACGTTGCCTGTCAAACTATTTCACCTGATACTAGTTAACGAACACCTGAGAATATTGACTGAATGTTTACTTTGGTAACCGCCGGATATTATAAGAGTGTTTGATCTCTGGTCCGATTCCCATCATGCATTGTTGATACCTGCACGTCTCTAGGACACCGACGTCCGTTGACGAGAAGAAATCTGACAAAAGGCTTTACTATGTAGACAGAAAACACGTAGAAGAATAAGATACTTTATTCTTTGTGTCAAATACCTATTTAACACGTATAGTTTTACTTTTTACCTTAATATCGACGTCTTTGTCAAACTTGATGAACAGGAAGTCAGAGATGGCCGTGATGGACTGACATTGTTCAGGACAACAATCTTTGTATCCAAACATCCGGGTTCTGTTCACCATCACTAGCTGAAGTACGAGATATAATGGCTGATATACACTTATAAATTTGCATGTTGTAAAAGTTTTTCTTGCAAAACAAACTCCATAATTGTGTGTAGGTTTAACATCAGGTATTTCAATAACATCTGAAAGTCTAACTCTAAATCTGGTTGAAAATAATAGTGTGTTCGTGCCTGATATCATATAACTTAAACATTTTTCACTCTTGTTCAATCGTTTTCATTAAAAACATATTTTGATTAGATTCCTTTTTATTATCAAAAGCGACTTAACTCTAGAGTTTTCATTTATATACACAAATAGATGTTACTACAGGTTACTGATGAGAACATTACTGACACTAAATGGACATATACACAAATAGATGTCACTCCAGGTTACTGATGAGAAAGTTACTGACACTGACTGGACACATACACAAATAGATGTCACTACAGGCTACTGATGAGGACGTTACTGACACTGACTGGACACATACACAAATAGATGTCACTACAGGCTACTGATGAGGACGTTACTGACACTGACTGGACATATACAGATGAGGACATTACTGACACTGACTGGACATATACAGATGAGGACGTTACTGACACTGACTGGACATATACAGATGAGGACGTTACTGACACTGACTGGACACATACACAAATAGATGTCACTACAGGCTACTGATGAGGACGTTACTGACACTGACTGGACATATACAGATGAGGACGTTACTGACATTGACTGGACATATACAGATGAGGACGTTACTGACACTGACTGGACACATACACAAATAGATGTCACTACAGGCTACTGTTGAGGACGTTACTGACACTGACTGGACACATACACAAATAGATGTCACTACAGGCTACTAATGAGGACGTTACTGACACTAACTGGACACATACACAAATAGATGTCACTACAGGCTACTGATGAGGACGTTACTGACACTAACTGGACATATACACAAATAGATGTCACTACAGGCTACTGATGAGAACATTACTGACACTGACTGGACACATACACAAATAGATGTCACTACAGGCTACTGATGAGGACGTTACTGACACTGACTGGACACATACACAAATAGATGTCACTACAGGCTACTGATGAGGACGTTACTGACACTGACTGGACACATACACAAATAGATGTCACTACAGGCTACTAATGAGGACGTTACTGACACTAACTGGACATATACAGATGAGGACGTTACTGACACTGACTGGACACATACACAAATAAATGTCACTACAGGCTACTGATGAGGACGTTACTGACACTGACTGGACACATACACAAATAGATGTCACTACAGGCTACTGATGAGGACGTTACTGACACTAACTGGACATATACAGATGAGGACGTTACTGACACTGACTGGACACATACACAAATAGATGTCACTACAGGCTACTGATGAGGACGTTACTGACACTGACTGGACACATACACAAATAGATGTCACTACAGGCTACTGATGAGGACGTTACTGACACTGACTGGACATATACAGATGAGGACGTTACTGACACTGACTGGACATATACAGATGAGGACGTTACTGACACTGACTGGACATATACAGATGAGGACGTTACTGACACTGACTGGACATATACAGATGAGGACGTTACTGACACTGACTGGACACATACACAAATAGATGTCACTACAGGCTACTGATGAGGACGTTACTGACACTGACTGGACATATACAGATGAGGACGTTACTGACATTGACTGGACATATACAGATGAGGACGTTACTGACACTGACTGGACACATACACAAATAGATGTCACTACAGGCTACTGATGAGGACGTTACTGACACTGACTGGACATATACAGATGAGGACGTTACTGACACTGACTGGACATATACAGATGAGGACGTTACTGACACGGACTGGACATATACAGATGAGGACGTTACTGACGCTGACTGGACACATACACAAATAGATGTCACTACAGGCTACTGATGAGGACGTTACTGACACTGACTGGACACATACACAAATAGATGTCACTACAGGCTACTGATGAGGACGTTACTGACACTGACTTGACACATACACAAATAGATGTCACTACAGGCTACTGATGAGGACGTTACTGACACTGACTGGACACATACACAAATAGATGTCACTACAGGCTACTGATGAGGACGTTACTGACACTGACTGGACACATACACAAATAGATGTCACTACAGGCTACTGATGAGGACGTTACTGACACTGACTGGACACATACACAAATAGATGTCACTACAGGCTACAGATGAGGACGTTACTGACACTAACTGGACATATACAGATAAGGACGTTACTGACACTAACTGGACATATACAGATGAGGACGTTACTGACACTGACTGGACATATACTGATGAGGACGTTACTGACACTGACTGGACATATACAGATGAGGACGTTACTGACACTGACTGGACATATACAGATGAGGACGTTACTGACACTGACTGGACATACCCTAAACTGGACAATGACGGGCTTGTTGAAGCAGTCTTTAGGAAAGTTGATCCTGACCCGACTATCGTCCTCGGAGATATAGGTATACCCCGAGAGAGGGATTTCCCTATGGTAGGCACGGAAACCAGCTACAGCTACGAACGCCTGGATAAACCTGGCCTCAAACTCTACTTGACTGTCCTGTAAAAACGACCAAAGGTCACGAGGTTGATGACGTGTTAATTATCTATGGCCTATTTTTACTTTAGGTAATGTCCCTTTACACTGAAGATTGACTTTTAGTCCCATGGTTTTCTTGGATTTTTTCTCACCGAAGATCTGTCTTATTTACGTATGTAGACGACAGTGAAAGTAACTTTGTGTGTATTACGTCATCAAATCTAATATTTATAACTTGGTTAAATCTACCAATTGAGACAAACTTGTTATTCCGACAAAGTAGAGTAATTTATTTTCTCGGCTGTTGCTGTTTTTTTCGTTGATCGAATACATTCTTAATATCAAAAGTCATGAATAACCGGTAATATATATATAAGTGTATATGCTATATAAATAACAGTAACTTCACAAATATCACAGCGAGGACTTGTATAGAAATGTCAGGACGAAAACCGATGTTTCAGATAGGTCACACCAAAGGGCTCAATATATATATACTATACATGTACACCATTGATTCATTTCGTATATATATATATATATATATATATATCAGTTTGGCGTCCATCACATAAAAAAGAAAGTGTATTGTTTACTTTAAATAAGTTACAATAGGTATCACTGATTCATCGGCACGCATTGAAACGTGTTAGAGGAAACTGAATTACACGAAAACGTGTATGATCAGTTAAACAGGTTCCTTTGTATTATCTGGTCAGTACAAGAGATTTCCCTACACTTAAATTATCTCCCCTGTACAGCCTGGACGAGAACATCTATGTTTCCCGTGACTGTACCTCTCTTCGTACGAGGAAAACTGATGTCTGTCCAGATACCGAGACAATAACTATGCTGGATGTTTTACCATTACATTCAGTTATAGGTATGATGGACAGGGAGATGTCTGTCCAGATACCGAGACAACAACCATGCTGGATGTTTTACCATTACATTCAGTTATAGGTATGATGGACAGGGAGATGTCTGTCCAGATACCGAGACAACAACCATGCTGGATGTTTTACCATTACATTCAGTTATAGGTATGATGGACAGGGAGATGTCTGTCCAGATACCGAGACAACAACCATGCTGGATGTTTTACCATTACATTCAGTTATAGGTATGATGGACAGGGAGATGTCTGTCCAGATACCGAGACAACAACCATGCTGGATGTTTTACCATTACATTCAGTTATAGGTATGATGGACAGGGAGATGTCCGTCTTTGTCTCAAAAACTTGAAGGCAGCGTATCTATAATATCTACTCCACTGAACCAATTAATTATAGATGTATCTGTAGGACACATTTAATAGAACAACAGACAGACATTGATTGTTTGACGGCCTAATTGATTAACTGTAATACAACATTTCTGTGTACTTACAATAAGTTCTCCTACCACATCAAGCCATTTAGGTCCACATTTTATTTTCACTTTGATCGCCACAGTGGATGGGAGGGCCACTTTTGATATTGGAAATCGCACAGAAATCCTTTCTGAACTCTGAAACGAACTTCCGGTAATTTGGAATATGTCTGAAATAAGATGTTGTCCATCTTGTAATTTCAACGAGTCTAGAATATCCTGGCGGTTTTCGACGGGACATCTGATGACGTCACAGTAGGACACATCACCAAGGTGCTTGTTTGGTCCCAAAGCCACTGCATTCTCTCCCATTTCTAGTGAATCCGCAATTCTGTTAAAATGGAACCCAATACTTATGTCACGGAGCTTTAACAATTGCTTATTTTAGATGTAATTTTCTGTAGATATAAAAATGTTGCTGATGTCTGTTTGATTATTCACTCCTTGGTACAAAGAGTAAAATAGAATACTCAAGAATCTCCTTCCTCTTTGATAAATATCACACGGAAAAAAGAATGAATTTAAAACTTAACTTGTCGATAATGTGAACTTACCCTTTTGTTTTCCCTATTCCGAAGAAAGCATCCGTACACAAACTTCCAACTTTGAACATAAGTTGTCTGTACTCCTCTAACGACACACTGAAATGTGAAATTGTACAATAATTGTCTTCTGTCTGAACATCCGTACATAACTTCAAACTTCTGCCTTGAAAACATCACATACAGAACCAGTATTAGAAACCTACTGATTTGTGCCCTGTAAACATCACATACAGAACCGGTATTAAAAACCTACTGATTTGTGCCCTGTAAACATCACATACAGAACCGGTATTAAAAACCTACTGATTTGTGCCCTGTAAACATCACATACAGAACCGGTATTAAAAACCTACAGATTTGTGCCCTGTAAACATCACATACAGAACCGGTATTAAAAACCTACTGATTTGTGCCCTGTAAACATCACATACAGAACCGGTATTAAAAACCTACTGATTTGTGCCCTGTAAACATCACATACAGAACCGGTATTAAAAACCTACAGATTTGTGCCCTGTAAACATCACATACAGAATCGGTATTAAAAACCTACTGATTTGTGCCCTGTAAACATCACATACAGAACAGGTATTAAAAACCTACTGATTTGTGCCCTGTAAACATCACATACAGAACCGGTATTAAAAACCTACTAATTTGTGCCCTGTAAACATCACATACAGAACCGGTATTAAAAACCTACTGATTTGTGCCCTGTAAACATCACATACAGAACCGGTATTAAAAACCTACAGATTTGTGCCCTGTAAACATCACATACAGAATCGGTATTAAAAACCTACTGATTTGTGCCCTGTAAACATCACATACAGAACCGGTATTAAAAACCTACAGATTTGTGCCCTGTAAACATCACATACAGAACCGTTATTAAATACCTACTGATTTGTGCCCTGTAAACATCACATACAGAACCGGTATTAAAAACCTACTGATTTGTGCCCTGTAAACATCACATACAGAACCGGTATTAAAAACCTACAGATTTGTGCCCTGTAAACATCACATACAGAACCGGTATTAAAAACCTACTGATTTGTGCCCTGTAAACATCACATACAGAACCGGTATTAAAAACCTACTGATTTGTGCCCTGTAAACATCACATACAGAACCGGTATTAAAAACCTACAGATTTGTGCCCTGTAAACATCACATACAGAACCGGTATTAAAAACCTACAGATTTGTGCCCTGTAAACATCACATACAGAACCGGTATTAAAAACCTACTGATTTTTGCCCTGTAAACATCACATACAGAACCGGTATTAAAAACCTACTGATTTGTGCCCTGGGTTATAATGATGGATATTTCCGTCACAAATCCGGATATACTGTTTTGTATCATGCTCCGTCTCTGACGAGCCTGGTCGTTATCGTATCTGAAATCAAATTCGTGTAACTTTAACAAAAGTACCAAAGTATTACTCAAAATATACATTGCCATTCAATACAAATACGTTGCAGAGATTTGTTTCTATGATATATAAGCTAGATGAAACGTGTCCTCAATAACAGGTTCATCTTTATATTGATATTTGAAAATACTAAACAACGTTGACTAACTTCAGCCTCTTCAGCAGGACCTTAGCTCCCCTCATCAGCCCTAGAACCCCGGACAGGAAACTGGAATATATGTTTCTGGCACCAGGCAGGAAGCTGGAAAAATTAAAACGGTTAAAATTCAGCGATGAAATCGTGAATATATCTTTTGTCTAAACTTGGGACTATTTCAAAATTATATATATATATAAACTTCTGCTTTGTGTGACTTTATGACCCCGAATCGGGGTATATTGTTTTCCGTGCTGTCTGTTTGTCTGTCTCTCTGATTTGTTTGTCTGTCTCTCTGATTTGTTTGTCTGTCATCAACTTTAACCTTGCCCATACCTATTACACCTTTCATATTTGGCTTGTGTGTTGCTTATGACAAGATTTTTCTGATGGTACCAGAATTGTTGACCACGCGATTTTCATTTTGGGTCAACCGGGGGCATAGTGTTTCATAAAGACATCTTGTTTTATCTACACTCACTCTATCTCTCTGTCCAGACAATTGTACCGACAGTGCATGCTCATGGCGTAAAACATTCCATGTACAGGACGTAACAAAGCCAGAATGTTCAGCTCGAACCTGTAAAATAGAAGATTTTATTTTATATTCAATTGTTAACGTACGTCGTGAGTATTACATAAACAGTAAACAATCCAGGGCTGAACGGTTTAGATCGTTGTTCTGTAAATGTTTAATCAGTTAATTTGGAGTTTCGTTGTTTGTATAAATACTGGTTTTATAGCGTTGTGATTATCAACTTCTGTCACACATTACTCAAAATCTCAAACATATGCCCTTGTGGTCAATACTATGTACATGGGAAGGACAAAATGTGTCTATCTGTTTCTTCTTAAGACCAACAGAGCTTGTTGTCGTGGCATTGCCAACATATACACAGTAAATGTTCTTGTTTAAATCTCAATAACAATACAAGACAAGAGTTCAGTATACATATAGTCCTCTAGTCTCCGAGGATAAAAGCAGTATGTTATGTCCCTGACATGACGTCATGAAAGACCCGAATATTGTGATGCTGTCTTACCTTTGAAGAAAAAGAGACATGACTTCCCCGTATAAAGAGGCCAGGTCTGTTGCTAGCTCCATGAGTTCAGACAAGATTTCCTGTCTCCGTCTGTGAACCAACATCACGATAATCTCTCAGTGGTATCAATTATACCAACAACACAGTAAACATATCAATTATACCAACAACACAGTAAACATGTCAATTATACCAACAACACAGTAAACATGTCAATTATACCAACAACACAGTAAACATGTCAATTATACCAACAACACAGTAAATATATCAATTATACCAACAACACAGTAAACATATCAATTATACCAACAACACAGTAAACATATCAATTATACCAACAACACAGTAAATATATCAATTATACCAACAACACAGTAAATATATTAATTATACCAACAACACAGTAAACATATTAATTATACCAACAACACAGTAAATATATCAATTATACCAACAACACAGTAAACATATCAATTATACCAACAACACAGTAAACATATCAATTATACCAACAACACAGTAAACATATCAATTATACCAACAACACAGTAAACATATCAATTATACCAACAACACAGTAAATATATCAATTATACCAACAACACAGTAAACATATCAATTATACCAACAACACAGTAAATATATTAATTATACCAACAACACAGTAAATATATCAATTATACCAACAACACAGTAAATATATTAATTATACCAACAACACAGTAAACATATCAATTATACCAACAACACAGTAAACATATTAATTATACCAACAACACAGTAAATGTATCAATTATACCAACAACACAGTAAACATATCAATTATACCAACAACACAGTAAATATATCAATTATACCAACAACACAGTAAACATATCAATTATACCAACAACACAGTAAATATATCAATTATACCAACAACACAGTAAACATATCAATTATACCAACAACACAGTAAATATATCAATTATACCAACAACACAGTAAATATATCAATTATACCAACAACACAGTAAATATATCAATTATACCAACAACACAGTAAACATATCAATTATACCAACAACACAGTAAATATATCAATTATACCAACAACACAGTATATATATCAATTATACCAACAACACAGTAAATATATCAATTATACCAACAACACAGTAAATATATCAATTATACCAACAACACAGTAAACATATCAATTATACCAACAACACAGTAAATATATCAATTATACCAACAACACAGTAAATATATCAATTATACCAACAACACAGTAAATATATCAATTATACCAACAACACAGTAAACGTATTAATTATACCAACAACACAGTAAACATATCAATTATACCAACAACACAGTAAATATATCAATTATACCAACAACACAGTAAATATATCAATTATACCAACAACACAGTAAACATATCAATTATACCAACAACACAGTAATATATCAATTATACCAACAACACAGTAAATATATCAATTATACCAACAACACAGTAAATATATCAATTATACCAACAACACAGTAAACATATCAATTATACCAACAACACAGTAAAAATATCAATTATACCAACAACACAGTAAAAATATCAATTATACCAACAACACAGTAAACATATTAATTATACCAACAACACAGTAAATGTATCAATTATACCAACAACACAGTAAACATATCAATTATACCAACAACACAGTAAATATATCAATTATACCAACAACACAGTAAACATATCAATTATACCAACAACACAGTAAATATATCAATTATACCAACAACACAGTAAACATATCAATTATACCAACAACACAGTAAATATATCAATTATACCAACAACACAGTAAACATATCAATTATACCAACAACACAGTAAATATATCAATTATACCAACAACACAGTAAATATATCAATTATACCAACAACACAGTAAATATATCAATTATACCAACAACACAGTAAATATATCAATTATACCAACAACACAGTAAACATATCAATTATACCAACAACACAGTAAATATATCAATTATACCAACAACACAGTAAATATATCAATTATACCAACAACACAGTAAATATATCAATTATACCAACAACACAGTAAATATATCAATTATACCAACAACACAGTAAACGTATTAATTATACCAACAACACAGTAAACATATCAATTATACCAACAACACAGTAAATATATCAATTATACCAACAACACAGTAAATATATCAATTATACCAACAACACAGTAAACATATCAATTATACCAACAACACAGTAAATATATCAATTATACCAACAACACAGTAAATATATCAATTATACCAACAACACAGTAAATATATCAATTATACCAACAACACAGTAAACATATCAATTATACCAACAACACAGTAAACATATCAATTATACCAACAACACAGTAAACATATCAATTATACCAACAACACAGTAAACATGTCAATTATACCAACAACACAGTAAACATGTCAATTATACCAACAACACAGTAAACATGTCAATTATACCAACAACACAGTAAACATGTCAATTATACCAACAACACAGTAAACATGTCAATTATACCAACAACACAGTAAACATATCAATTATACCAACAACACAGTAAACATATCAATTATACCAACAACACAGTAAACATATCAATTATACCAACAACACAGTAAATATATCAATTTTACCAACAACACAGTAAATATATCAATTATACCAACAACACAGTAAATATATCAATTATACCAACAACACAGTAAATATATCAATTATACCAACAACACAGTAAATATATCAATTATACCAACAACACAGTAAATATATCAATTATACCAACAACACAGTAAATATATCAATTATACCAACAACACAGTAAATATATCAATTATACCAACAACACAGTAAATATATCAATTATACCAACAACACAGTAAATATATCAATTATACCAACAACACAGTAAATATATCAATTATACCAACAACACAGTAAATATATCAATTATACCAACAACACAGTAAACATATTAATTATACCAACAACACAGTAAACATATCAATTATACCAACAACACAGTAAACATATCAATTATACCAACAACACAGTAAATATATCAATTATACCAACAACACAGTAAATATATCAATTATACCAACAACACAGTAAATATATCAATTATACCAACAACACAGTAAATATATCAATTATACCAACAACACAGTAAATATATCAATTATACCAACAACACAGTAAATATATCAATTATACCAACAACACAGTAAATATATCAATTATACCAACAACACAGTAAATATATCAATTATACCAACAACACAGTAAATATCTATATTATTTTGTTTAAGTTTCTTTTTCCACATTTATATACATATTATATGTATACGTTGCCTACAAAGCAGGAAAAATTACACCCCTTGCTGGAAATCAATTTCAGTTATATCTATTATTAGTATTTTCCAGGAAATTTACACACGAACGTCAAACTTCAAATTACCTCAATAGCGTATGTTGTTTTATACAGTAGTATTAATTGAATTGGCATAATTTGAATTTATAACGTATAACAAAAAATAAAAAGAAAAAAAAGAAACAAGCAAAATGCAGCGTATCTAACGAAGGACGAAAATGGGATTGTGTAAAGTAGAATTGGATGTTCATTGTGAGGAGATTCTGAAAGAAGACCCGGACATAATATACTGTGTTAACAGTTAACGCAAGTATCAATAAACATATTCTATAAAACACGGTCATCAAAAGTTACCAAAGTAAAGATCTGAGAGTTAGCCATTCCTGGTAGTTCTAAGTTCTGAGAGATAGGTTAGCCATTCCTGGTATTTCTAAGTTCTGATTGAGAGGTCAGCCATTCCTGGTGTTTCTAAGTTCTGATTGAGAGGTAAGCCATTCCTGGTATTTCTAAGTTCTGAGAGACAGGTTAGCCATTCCTGGTATTTCTAAGTTCTGAGAGATAGGTTAGCCATTCCTGGTATTTCTAAGTTCTGATTGATAGGTTAGTCATTCCTGGTATTTCTAAGTTCTGATTGAGAGGTTAGCCATTCCTGGTATTTCTAAGTTTTGAGAGATAGGTTAGCCATTCCTGGTATTTCTAAGTTCTGAGAGATAGGTTAGCCATTCCTGGTATTTCTAAGTTCTGATTGAGAGGTTAGCCATTCCTGGTATTTCTAAGTTCTGAGAGATAGGTTAGCCATTCCTGGTATTTCTAAGTTCTGATTGATAGGTTAGCCATTCCTGGTATTTCTAAGTTCTGAGAGATAGGTTAGCCATTCCTGGTATTTCTAAGTTCTGAGAGATAGGTTAGCCATTCCTGGTATTTCTAAGTTCTGAGAGATAGGTTAGCCATTCCTGGTATTTCTAAGTTCTGAGAGATAGGTTAGCCATTCCTGGTATTTCTAAGTTCTGAGAGATAGGTTAGCCATTCCTGGTATTTCTAAGTTCTGAGAGATCGGTTAGCCATTCCTGGTGTTTCTAAGTTCTGAGAGATCGGTTAGTCATTCCTGGTATTTCTAAGTTCTGATTGAGAGGTTAGCCATTCCTGGTATTTCTAAGTTCTGAGAGATCGGTTAGCCATTCCTGGTGTTTCTAAGTTCTGATTGAGAGGTAAGCCATTCCTGGTATTTCTAAGTTCTCAGAGATCGGTTAGCCATTCCTGGTGTTTCTAAGTTCTGAGAGATCGGTTAGTCATTCCTGGTATTTCTAAGTTCTGATTGAGAGGTTAGCCATTCCTGGTATTTCTAAGTTCTGAGAGATCGGTTAGCCATTCCTGGTGTTTCTAAGTTCTGATTGAGAGGTTAGTCATTTCTGGTATTTCTAAGTTCTGAGAGATAGGTTAGCCATTCCTGGTATTTCTAAGTTCTGAGAGATAGGTTAGCCATTCCTGGTATTTCTAAGTTCTGAGAGATCGGTTAGTCATTCCTGGTATTTCTAAGTTCTGAGAGATAGGTTAGCCATTCCTGGTATTTCTAAGTTCTGATTGAGAGGTTAGCCATTCCTGGTATTTCTAAGTTCTGATTGAGAGGTTAGCCATTCC